AGAAATCTCTAAAGCATATCCAAATTTCTCCAAAGTATTTATTGAGATATGGCATTACTTTTCTTGCATGGCAAGTTGCTGGTGGTGGGTAAGTTAAGATTTTTTTTTTTTCTGTACTGCTATATAGTCGTACCCAGAAGAAAGCTTTTACAGGCAGTTTCTTTGTGGATGCAGAACTGTATCCCTCCCTGTAAGGAAATCCTTGCCTTTAATTCTGGTATCAGTTTTTCCTAAGGCCCCATCTCAAACTTTATTTCTGTATGGAAGATCACTTTGGATAATGAGACTAAGAACCTTTAACAATGAGACACGGAAAAGGCTCTGCCTTGCCTTTTGCTCAATTGTTCCCTCTTGGTATTAATGCAAAAGCCAATATGAACAAACTCTTCATGTACGACTTTGTAATAAAAAGTGTCACATTTCCAGTAATTTATGTTATTGAAATTCTTGTATAAAAAATTGCTTTGCAAGAAAACTATTTCAGTTTTCCCCTTACTTGATGGCCTGCTGCCCTCCTAGGAAAAATGTCAGGCTACTATTAGTTTGAAAATCTACAGGGAATAATATTTTCTAGCTGAATACAGAAAAAAAATTATTATTCCAGTGTATAATTAGTGCCCAGGTACATAAAGATGTGTCTTCTCAGCCACCTGTACCTAGTGAGCTGTTTGGAGTTCTGTCTGGCTTTGGCTGCAGCAGCCAGCAGTGCATACCGTTTTCCTCTCTCTTTGTAGGTTTTCTCATCACATGATTCCTGGTCCTCCTGGGCCCCACACAACTGGCATCCCTCACCCAGCTATTGTAACGCCTCAGGTCAAACAGGAGCACCCTCACACTGACAGTGACCTAATGCACGTGTAAGTACACCCCCCCACCCCCCACCCCTGTGTACTCTACAAAAGTGCCTTCACACTGTCGCTACCTACCTGATTTTGGACCTCCCCCTTCTGTTAAGAAATTTATGAAACTCCATGTAGCTCTCCCCGGAAGGCTCTGTTCCTGAGACTAGCAGGCACCTTGATACCACAGTGCCTTGATTCTGAGTGGAAAGGAGCACAGGCTTTAAAAGCCCATGGATACTCACCAGGCTGGAGCAGTGTTCTGAGTGTAGACCTGAGAGCTCTTGAGCTGTTTGACTGCCTACGCAGCCATGCCATTGTTCAGTGAAGTGAAGCAGATTGATGGGCTTAGTACAGTTCCTTCTGGATGTGCAGATCTGCTGAGGAGTCCTCAGCTCCTCAGAATTGTTGAGAAAATGACCCACACAGCACAGAATTCTCTATTGGGCCAGCATTGATTCAGACTTTGAGAGACTGGCCAAATAGCCTTACCTTTTGATTAGGGTTTGTGGATGACAGGGCAGGGCAAGCAGTGTATGACTGTGTATAAAGTTCATGGAAATATATTCAAAGGAAATATGCATTCGTTTGGGGGAAAGGATGGGGAAGTTTCATTAGGACTGGGGAGATAGCTTAGTAAGTAAAGTGCTTGCATTATAAACACAAGGACTTTTGGGTTTGTGTCTATATCCCAGCACTGGGGAGACAGAGACAGGAGGATTCCTGGGGCAGTGAGAGACTGCCAGCCTTGGGTGTTCCTCAGGTGCCATCCTTTTTTTTCAAATTTTTTAATTTTTAGAAACTCTCTCAGGCCTATACACACACAAGTTTTATTCGTTTTTCAACGTGTCCTTCATCTCTCACCCCCAAAAGTTAACATCCACTGCTTTGAAAGAGGATTGAGCACTTGTGCGTGGTCAGAGTCTTCTGAGGTAGCCAAGGGCCTCGTGTTCAGGACCCTGGATGGAGTGAACCCACTGCTATTTTTGTTAAATACATTTATAACTACAGATGATGTGTTGTCAAAGTGAATGATCCTTAGTCAGAGTTACTGTGATTTGGTTGTTTGCAACTCAGGTTTTCATCAAATGAGTTCTTCCTCCAAGTTGATGGTGTCCTGTGGGCTTACAGAGAGCTGGGAGGGTTGTCTTCACACTGAAGTTGGCAATGTGAACAGATGTTCCTCTCTTCTCATCTCTTCCTTCTACCCCTTCCCTAACCACCACCACCACCACCTTTTAGGAAGCCTCAGCATGAACAGAGAAAGGAGCAGGAGCCAAAAAGACCTCACATTAAGAAGCCTCTGAATGCTTTCATGTTATACATGAAGGAAATGAGAGCAAACGTCGTAGCGGAGTGCACTCTGAAGGAGAGTGCGGCCATCAACCAGATCCTGGGCAGACGGGTAAGGAACAGGATGGTGGGTAAAAATGTTTAGAATGGCTGCATTAAAATCGGTCAAAATTTAATTACATATGGAGTGTTCTTCCTGTGTGTTTGTGTATACCAACAGGCATTCGGGGAACTAGAAAGCACAAGATAATAGCGATAGCATTCTGGAGGACTCTGTGATATAGTGCGTTGTAAACAGTTCTGACTGTGCTTGGCACATAGGAAACTTCCTAGTATTGATAACATCTTTGACTGCTATTCTTCAAACAGTATTTACTAAGTGTCTTTGTATGTCTGGCACAATGCTTGGTGACAATTGCTGAATAAAACAGACAGAGCCCTTGCCTTTCTATAATGTAAAGTTTTGTGATCAGATATCAGACATAACCTAATAAAATTAAAATTGTATTAAACTGTATAGATGTGATTAGCAAAATTATATGAGAAAGAACAGCAGGGCCCAGCAAAAGCTACTCCAAGGACATCACACTTGTGCTGAGACCTGAGAGATAGGTAGTGGTTAGTGGGAGAGAGAGGTGGGAATCCTTCATTGTTGAGAGGGGGAGGGAATTTGAAGAAAATGCTCAACCCATAGAAGGAGCAACAGCAGAACTTTTGGGACTTCAGCTCAAGAGCACAGAGGTGGCCACACCTTCCCATACAGAAGTAAATCTGTTGTGAAGCTCTAAGGAGACATTTTAGGATCCAGAAAAGTCTTGTTGCTGGAGATGGTTCTCTGAGGCTCAAAGCCTGCATGTGCCTGGTTTCAGGATTGCCCCTTTGCATTCCATTCCTTCATCTGCTCATGCTATAATGGGTTGTTGGCCCCCGTGTCCTCGGCTATAACCAGGATACTGGCACTGTTAAAATTCTTTATCCAACAACTAGCCAAAAGACTATGCACCCCTTTCTAGTGTTTTTTTTTTTTTTTTTTTTTTTGCATGATTGAAATTATCTTAGATATCTGTAGAGCTATAAGACAAACTCAAATTCATCCAATTCAAAAATTACATCTTGGGGCTGAAGAGATGGTTCAGCAGGTAAGAGCACTGGCTGCTCTTGCAGAGGACCCGAGTTCATTTCTCAGCATCCACATGGCAGCTAACAACTGCCCATAACTCCAGTTGTAGAGGATGGATCTGACACCTTTTTATAGCCTCCATGGGCATTGCACGACACAGGTTCACAACATACATGCAGGCAAAACACTCATACACATAAAATTTTTAAAAATTACATCTTCACTGAAACGTCATTATAATCCTAGAAGTACTTCATCTTTATTTGCTGATACTCTCCATATATGTGGGTAGCGTCTTGGTTTATGACTCATAGGTGTTTTTGCATCTTTTAAAAAATTCCAATCAGGTAAGGAAGGTCTAAGCATCCTGTGAAGCATACACATGTCAGCGGCTCTGGGTACAGTTTTTCACTGTCTCTGTTCCCAACTCAGCACATTTGAGCATTCATAACAAGATCCTCAGGAGTCAGGCAATCCATGAGGAGGAGGGAAAGAAGACCTTGAGTTATTGATTCCCACTGGAGAGCCTCAACCTGCTACCATTTCCAATCTGTGAGACACTAAGGTTTTAGGGGTAGGGCACAGCAGTAGATTATAGTCTTCTTGGTATCATGAGTGATATGTCCTATCTCCCTGTGGATTCTTAAAACACTTAATAACAATAATTACAGTGATTCCCAAGCTGGATCTCAGCAGAGGAGTGATTCCCATCGTCTTTGAAGGGCTCCACCTTAAAAGCCTAAAGGCTGATGAGCACTTTCCCTGACTCTTTAAGAGAAGGCTTTGAGTTTTTCAGTTCAGCCCTGTACTGTCCTTAGCTTCTCCTTTTTTTTTTTTTCTCCTTTGAGTCAGATACCCTCTGGTCCTGCAGCAGGAATTGTTTTCCTGCTCCAGAGAGTGAGGATGTGATCTTTGAGGTGTGCTTCCTATTTTGAAATGCACGTTTCCAGCACTTGCTACTTTCTCAGCTCCTTGAGTTGTCCTCAGATTCAAGCATGTGTCTTCAAGGATGGTTCTCATTTGAGGTCTCTCTGTCTTTGATTTAGACACCTGTTTCTATTTATAGGCCTCTGAGATCTTTGATTGAGATCAGGTTTTCTGTCCTTTGAGCACTCCCCTCTGGGGAGGCTATACTTGCTGGCTCTTTAAAGTCCTGACTTTAAAAATCATGAAGTTTTACACTGGGATGATTAGACTTCTTGAAAGTGGATCTTAAATCCATCCTGGAATATTTTATCATTGGTATTTTTTAAAATTAGTTTTTTCTGGGGCTGGAGAGATGGCTCAGCACTTAAGAACACTGGTTGTTCTTGCAGAAGACCCAGGTTCAAATCCCAGCACCCACATGGCAGCTGACAACTGTCCATAACTCCAGTCCCAGGGGATCCGACAGCTTCTTCGGACCTCCACAGGCATTGCACGACACGGGTGCACTTGGGTGCACTTACCTACATGCAGGCAATCCACACATACACATAAAATTTAGAAAATTCATTTTTGCTGTGTCTAAAATAGAAGTGCCCATTCATATGAATGAATCAAAGTTTTCTTAAAATA